CGGTCGGGGCGCTGTGCGTGCGCCCGCGTCCCCGGGCCGCCGAAGGCCGCCCCCTCCCTCCCCGCGGGCTTCGCGGCAGTGACAGCCTTGTGTCTTTCGGGCTCAGTGGTGGGAGCGACCGAAGCGCTGCCGTCCGTTTGCGCAGCGGCTGCCCCGTACCAGGCATCGCGCTGACTTCCTCGCTCCCATGGTTTTCCGTCATCTTCAGAGCAACCTAAGGAGGTAGGTGCCCTTTGCAGCCCCGTGGACTGAGGCGAGCGCCGCGGCCGAGAAAGTTGTCCAGGACGACGTGCTGGGAAGAGGCAAGACTGGGGCCGGAGTTAGGGAGCGCCCGTCCATTAGGGGCGTGGAAGCTGTTCCGATGTTAGGTCCGTAAATACTCCTTGGGCCGCCCTCATGGCGTTCGCGGGCTGCTGCGACCTTGCCTGCTGGAGACGGACGGATGCGCGAGGCCGCGGAGCCTGGGCTGGAGGGGAGCGGCTCGCCCCGCGCGGCTCCCGGGGCTGGCAGATGTGTCTCCTGCTGCCCTCCAGCTTGGTCCCCTGGGGTGATGGGACGTGGGTGCGGCCCACGCGACCCCAGCTGAGGCGCTCAGAAGAGACCTCTGTCGAGGGTGGCTGGCCTCTTCCTGCAGAGACGCTCACCTAGTCCAGGCTGCGGAGGTGGCATGGAGGTGGCAGTGTTGGAGAGCTCTGGGTCGAGACAACAGGCGTTTTCCCCCTCGACCAAAAAGGCAGGAAGTAGGAGCTGCAGCTGAGGAGCAGGTGCTCTGCGCCGTGTGGGGCCTGCGTCTAGGAGCTGGGCCTCCGTCCCGTGCGGGCCCCTGAACCCCACTTTCTTTCAGAGCTGTCACACTCTGAACTTAAACCCGGAAGCTGGCTGCAGACCCACAGGCTGTGCTGATGCTGTCCCCTTTGTTCCTGCAGTGCAGACCCAGGCAACAGCCAGGCCATGGAGCTCTCTGGTGTGACCCTCATTGAAGGCATGGGTAATGAGGTAGTGGTGCTGGCAGGTGTGGTGGCGCTGGTTCTAGCTCTGGTCCTTGCTTGGCTGTCCACATATGTAGCAGAGAGCAGTAGCAGCCAGCTCCTGGGAACCATCGCGGCACCAAGAGACACCTCCGTCCTTCAGCTGGGCCATGGAGACCAGCTGGTAGCGCGCCCAGACACGCCCAACCCCCCTGAGCTGTCCCACCAATCGGAGGGCAGTGAGGAGAAGGCTGAAGAGGCCCACACGGGCGTGAGTGATGCAGTGGGGGAGCTGGGCTCCGGGGCAGGTGTGGAGCCCAACCTGGAGCGGCTTCTGGACATCCAGGGCCTGGCCAGGCGGCAGGCAGCTATGGACAGTGGTGGTCCGGAAGCCCTGCCATGCTCTACAAGGGGCACCTGCCTGCCTCCCGGTGCTGGCCTCATCAACTTGAGGCTCAAATTCCTCAATGACACCGAGGAGCTGGCCGTGGTCAAGCTGGAAGACACTGTGGGTGCTCTGAAGAGGTGAGGGGGACCCTGGCTTGGCTCCTGGAAGAAGCTGCTGGGCCGTGGGAGAAGGGGTGTTGGGTCCCGCCCTGCCCAGGGCAGTGGGAGACTTCCTTGGAAACTCCCCCTGCCACCCCCCCCCTTTTGGTACTATACTGGGAACTAAAGCCAGGGTTGTTGCACTAAGCTACATCCTCAGCTCTAAACTACCGAGGCTGGGCTCAAACTTGGGCTCTGCTGCCTCAGCCTTCCAGTGGGTTGGGATTACAAGCCATCATGATGCCCTGCTCTCATCCTTTTCATTTTCTCTTCAACCCTGCAGCAAATACTTCCCTGGACAAGAAAGCCAGATGAAACTTATCTACCGGGGCCACCTGCTGCAGGATCCTGCAAGCACACTGCGCTCCCTGAACATCACAGACAACTGTGTGATCCACTGCCACCGCCTGCCCCCAGGGGCCGCTGCCCAGGACCCCTCTGCCACCCTGGCCCACTCTGCCGCTGAACCGCCCAGTCTGGGCCTCAGCGTGGACAGCCTCATGGTGGCTGTGTTCGTGGTGCTCTTGGGTGTGGTCTGGTACTTACGGATCAACTACCGCCAGTTCTTCACAGGGCCAGCCACGGTCTCCCTGGGGGGCGTCACAGTGTTCTTCAGCTTCCTGGTCTTTGGGATGTATGGGCGGTAGAACAAAGGCACATCTTTATCCACGGCACTTCCCTTCCCTGGCCCAAGGGAAGGCAGCCAGGATCAGGTGCCCAGGCAGGAGGCCCAACAGGTGGATGTTGGGCTGCCCCTGCCCACCAGACAGCTGTCCCCGTGCCAGCACACCTCAGGTAGAACCTTCTTCCAGCACCCTGCCCAAGCTCAGAGCTGTGCCTGGCTCGTGGGAAGCTTGCACTCATCCCCCTGGCACCACTGTGTGGGGCTCTGGTGTCAGTCCTAGGACTGGAATGGCACCGGCAGGGGAGACTGCACCTCTCCACCCCAGCCCTAGCAGGCATGTGGTATCCCCTGCACACTGCTGGCCTCTGCCAGGACAGCACCAGGCCACAGCTGCTGTGCCCCTGGGCCCAGAGCTGCCAGTGAGTACTGGCTCTCAGCCAGCACCTGCCTGCAGGGCTCCATGGACTGCTCTGGAGGGTTCACCATGGGCCACATGGGCCGCCTTGGGAGTCCTAGATAGACTCCACATTTGTGATTCAATAAAGTTGTGTTTTATGGCCAAGATGCCTTGCGTGACATTCAGAACATAGCTGTGCCTGCCCCAGCTCTAAGGCAATGAGGGCGGGGAGGCCAGGCTACCAACGGGAGATGCAGTTTATTTACACCAGCAGCCATGGGCAGAGGGTACACAGCGTTTACAAAGTTAGCTACCTGTACAGGATGGATTATATATGCAAAAATAAAAATCTCAAGACCACAGGACAGCGTGAGCCCCCCCCCTCCCCCAATGACCCCAGCATGCGGTGATGCCAGGCGGGTGGCCCCGGGCATGCGGGGGGAGCGATGCATGGAAGGGAAGCCACCGGCCGTGGGATTAACAGACCCCACACTCAGACACAGGGCGAGATACAGGGCACTGCGGAGGCTGGGGTCTGCTGCCTCCTTCCACCCACCCAGATGGGGGTGTGCGCGGACAGACCTGTCCCCAGACTGCCCCCACATCCTCCTTCCCCAGAGAGGCTGGGGCAGGGGTTAGGTGGGAGCCCCAACCTTGCACGCCTCACCTCCAGCCCATTCCCAACTGGGCAGCCCTGGAGGAGGAGGCCGCAAGGGCGAGAAGAGAGGCACCCAGGCCCCAGGATTTATTCTATCTGCTGCCAAAAACGGGTTTGCCTTTTTAAAAAATAATCACAATACTTGGGTTAAAAACCAATTTGTAACCAGGGTTCAGCCACAATCAAAAGCACCCCAGGAAGAAACTGGGGTTCCAGACAGGGTCCCACAGCCCTGTCCTGTTGTTCCCACAACCCTCTAGGGTCCCCAACCCAAATCAGTCCGAGCAGTCCTGGGTACCAGCTACTCAAATGGGGGACACAGCCAGCACGTGCTGGGGACAGGCCCCATCAGTCACCTCTGTCCCTCCGGCCTGGCACAGGGCTGTACATCTCTCCAGATGTAGACCAGGCTGGCAGGCACACTGACACACCCTCCCATGGGAGCGACACCACCCCATCCCCTCCACTGGATCTGGAGCCAAAGCTACCCTCTTTCTACCTACTGCCGGCAGGGAGAGGCACAAGTTAAAGACTGTCTCTGGAGCCCCAAACCACAAGTACAGAATAAATAACTTAAAAGCGGCGCAGGAGGGAGTAGGGCAGCCTGGAGGCAGGGACAGAGCAGAACAAGGCTGGGATGGGGAAGGTGGCAAGCAGCAGCATGGGGCTGGGCTGCCCCAGGGTAGCGGCAGGGCGGGCATGGGACAAGGGGCCACCCCAGGAGGGCGAGGCTGCGCCCCTTCCTGGGGCAGGGAATGAGGTAAGAAAACATTTCAAATAAAGCAGCACCGTTCCCTCACCGCGGGCCTCCTTGCCGCCCAGGCCAGGGTCGGCCGCCCGCTGGGACGGACAGGAGGGATGGTGGAGCCCAGGTGACAGGGCCCTACCCCACCCTCCGCTTTCCGCTCCTTGAAGCTTCGAGGCTGCGGCCCTTTCCTGGCACCTGCTGACGAGGGACAGCTCTGGCTGCCAGGGAACCCGTGGGGATGGAGGGGCTGCGTGGGTGGGGGAGGCGGTGCAGTCCTGGGCGCCACCTAGCAGCCGCCCACTGGCCAGGTATTGTGGGCTCTGTGCCCACTGCCCTGGGACAGCTCAGACCCCTTTGCATTGCCCGGAGCCTCCTGGGGCCAAGTCCAGTTCCTGGGCAAGGCAGGCAGTGTGCGGGGCAGTGCCCGGGCCAGGCCCCGGGCCTGGCCAGACATCCAGTAACTCACAGAATAAATAGGAAAACTGCCTCCCACCGAACTGTGTCCACGCATAACGAACATGTCCAGGTCCGAGGCCACCACAGAGGACCCAGCACCCCCCAGGGGCGCTCTCATGGGCCTCCCCTGCCTGCCCGGCTCCAAGCTCCCGAGCCTGAACCCCAGCAGCGTCCATGTGCCCAGCTCGGCGCCCGGTGGGGTCGGGCGGGCTCTGCTCAGCCAAAGGCGGCCCCTTTGCCGTCAGTTGACGTCGTCGTAGATGCTGGGCGTTGGGGGTGCCGGGGGCTTGGGCCTCTTTTTCTTGCTGGCGCCCAGACCAGATGCAGCACCTGCCAGGCCCAGGTGTGCCTTCTTTTTCTTGGCCTTCCGGGACTCAGAGCTGCTGCTGCCTGTGGAAGGAGGGGAGCTGGTGAGTGGGCCATAGGGGCGCCCTCTCCAGCAGCTCCCAAGCCCTGTGTACCTAGGCCCCATCCCTGGTTTTCACTGGTCTTCGAGGAGCCCGAGTCCGAGGGTGAGAGGTCAGAGGAGCCGTCCCACTGCAGTCGGCTAAGGAGGGCCTGACTGTCGGCCATGTCAAAGCTGTCATTGTCCAGCGAGCTCTCCACCTCCGGGAGGACCCTGCAAAGGGAGGCCAGTGGGCTCAGGCACGGTCACCATCATGCCACCCTCCCCACCAACCCTGTCCAGTGAGTCACTCACGCTGAAGGCCCGAGGAAATAAATCCGCACAGTCCGCCTCTGCTCGTCTGTGTGCTGGGGACAGCGCAAGGACCTGCAGGAACAGTGAGCTCAGCCCTGACGAGGCGCTCAGGAAGGTCTGTGTCCTAGTGGTCAAGGCAGAGCCAAGGGGTCCTCCCCACCCCACAGAGGCGCTCAAGGCCCACACTCACCTTGTGCACATCTTCTTGGTGTGTTCCGAAATCACTCCACATTGCTGTGAGAGAGACAGAAACTAAAGGGGCTGGAGGGACTTGGCCCGCTCCCAAGGCCCCCATGTGGCACAGCACATCCCACCGCATGCAGCACCCCCCACCCCTGCTGACCCCTCACCGTGGTGAGCAGGCTGCGCAGCTCCTCCGGCCCCAGTGACTCATAGCTGATCCCAGCAGAGTTGCTGTACTGTAGGAACCAGGCCAGTCAGGGCCAGGGCAGACACCCAAAACCCCCTATACACCTGTCTGAACCCCAGCCAACCCAGGAGACATGACAGGGGGCACAGGCAGCCCCTGCTCACCTTGAATGGATCCGAATTGCTAAGCTCCCCTGAAGAAGAAAAAAGAAGAGGAAGGGTGTTTGATGCAGAGGTACAGACAGAGAACCCTGAAAATAACCAGAGAGGAAGTGGGGGTGACAGAAGGTTCGCAGGCCTTCCCTTCACACCACCCCGCCTGCACTCCCAGGAACTCCCAAGGCAACATCCAGTACCTCCCATTGCTCCGGCCCCACTTACCATTTTTATGTTTTAAAGACTTGGATCTTCGTGGGGAATTGGGGTTCTGGAATGGGAAATACCACAGCTTTGGGGAAAGGGCAATAATAAGGGGGAGCCGAGAACCCAGGAAAGGAAAAACATTTGACAGAGAAACACCCTCGATTGCTTTGCATCTTCCCAGCAAGAGGCCCATTGGCCCACATACCCTCCCAGCACCTCTAGGCCTCCGTAGCCCTGGCCCACAGACACCTGCACCCCAGCAACCTGACTGGAGTCAAGACACCTGAGGCCCTCCTTCCCCCAAGGGAGGGTACTATCCAGTGCCCACTCTCTCTGCGCCCCAGCTCTCACCTTGTCTGATTTCCTCTTCTTAGCTGTTGGGGACAGAGGAAGGCAGAGTACAGTTACTTTTTTCCTGTTTCTTCAATCATACTGGACTGAACCCAAGACCTTGACGTGTGCTATGCCAACGTTCTGCCGCCAACCTACCCTCCAGCCCAACCCACGGCTCCTTAAAGCTCCAGGCTAAAGGCAACTAAAGAAAAGATAAAGCTCTCTTCTGTTCACATCATTCGTGTCTTTTTTGCACCACTAAGATCTAAACTCAGGAACTTCGTATGGACCTACATCACCAGCCCCAAGTCAGGGTCTCACTAAGTTCCCCAGGCTGGGCTCAAATTCTTTTTTTTTTTTTTTTTTTGCGGAACCGGGGATTGAACTCAGGCCCTTGTGCTTGCCAGGGAAGCCCTTATTCCACTGAGCCATTTCCCTGGCCCCTGGGCTCAAATTCTTGTCTCTGCCTCCCACAGCACTGAAGCTACAGCCACGCACCACCACGTTTGACTCCTCTACCCCATCCCAGGGCAACCCTAAGTTCCCCCGGCTGACAAACACCTTTCTTCTCCGAGCCATAGGACCAGTCATTGTCATTGATGTCATCGTTGTCCTCTTGGTCACTCTCCGACTTGTTCATGTTGTTGCTGTTGGCAATCCTGCGAGGAGAGGACCCTCTGGCTGTCAGGCTGGTGTCCCTCTCCACCCCCAACTTCAGAGCTCCAAGGGGGAGATCATCCAGGGCTCGACCCACCCTTTGCCCCACAAGTGCCCCCATTGCAGGCTGCAAGGCCGGGGGCAGCGCCCTCACCGGCGGTTGGCGATTCGGCTGCTGTTGCGCCCCATGCCCAGGCACTTCTCCAGGTGCGGCGCGAAGCGGGACGCGGCAATGCTTCGGCTGCAGTTGGGGCAGACGCACTCCTTGCTCTTCCACTGGTTGAAAACCTGTCCAAAGATGTCCAGCCCAGGCTGGTCCACGATCTCTGGGGACAGGAGAGGTGCAGCGATCAGGGCCAGGTGGCGACCAGCCCCTAACAGCCCGGCCTCAGCTTTGGGGGTGCAGGCGTCGGATGCAGCCCCCAGGCTTTCCACTGGAGCTCACCAAAATCCTTCATGCTGTCTGGGTCCGTGTCATCCAGGAAGAAGTAGCCACACTTAACGGCTCGGTGCACCTCAAAGCAGAACCCCAAACACGAATCCTCGACCAGGTCTGCATAAATCTCCTGAGCGATGGCCTGGGCCAGGGAGAGGGCCCATCACCACGGTCGCCCCCGCTGGTGGCAACTCAGCAGTGGCTCTAGTGTGTCCCCCATCCTGACCACGGCTTGCAGCAGCATGAAGACACCAGTAGCAAGATCTAGAGGCACACGCAGGGGTCCTCACCTCTAGTTTGCTGTTATCCAGGCCAGACAAAGACATTTCCTCCATTTTCATTTGTAAACTCTTGTGGAGACGGCGCTCTGACTGCTCATAGCACAGGGGGCGGCAACTCGGCTGCAGGATGGAGGTGATCCTGTGAGGCCGAGGCAGCGCAGAGCATTCCACCTCTCCTCCCCGCCAGCTGGGCCCTGTCAGCCCCCAGAGCAGACTCTCCAACCTGCACGGTCCTCAGCTGAAGCCCAGGGGTGGCCTTGTTCTTGCCCAGCAGAGCCAGGCTGCAGGGCCAACCGAGTCTGGATCTCCAAAAGCAGCAGCGCACCAGGTCCCCAAACTCAAACCCCTCTCGATACCCATGGTGCAATGCAGCAGGGGAGAAGGAACTCCAGGCCCAGGCCTCAGAGCAAACCCCCAGGGTGTGGCAGAGCAGCCTGGAAGCCCAGGCTCGACGGTCCTGCCAGTAACCTCTGCCGGCACCCAGGTATCCACCTGGGGGATGCTGCTACCAGAAGTAGGGACTGCCAGGGACGCTGCAACCCTCACCCCACCGTCCTCCCAGAACTGCGTCTGCTCCTCCCGGCGCAGAACAGCGTAGGGCGCCAGGGGCCGAAGTCACAGGGACACCGGGCTGCACGGTGGGGGTGCGCGTGGGGCACACACGAGGAGGGGGCACTGCCTACCTGCGGCCACCGGGACAGCCCCTCCCGCCCCATGGTTCGGCCCGGAAGTCTGACCGAGCGCCCCGAAGTGCGGGCGCCCCCGCCCGAGGCTACGGCCCGGGATACCCCTAGCAGCGGACCAAGCCGGGGTACGGGGCAGGGTCGGGGCGAGAGCCGCATCGCCCAGACGCGGAGCCCCGGGCCGGGCCGGCCCCGCCATTGTCCCGAACAAAGGCCCGCGCCCCTCCCGGCCCGCCGCGCCCCGCCCGCCC